TTATTTGGGGGGGGGATGTCTTACTTTCGGGGGAAACAGGGTAGCTAAAGAGTACAGACGGCTGGACCCTACAAGGGCATAAAGCCAAGGCAGCAAGGTCTCAAAACTCTTCATTTCTCAGATGTAGGCAATTTGATCCTGAAGGTACGGATGAACAAAATAACTTCGGAAGTGTATTGGTAGGAATAATGTTGCTGATGGAAGAGTCGTCTGTAAATGTAAAGTAAGAATTACATGGTGCAAATTTGTACTGGCGGATGCCGGTGGGGATTTCAAGTACATGCTGCTTGGTATGCAAAATGGCTGGTGAACTCAAGTACCCAATACTGAATGTAATGGGAACCAGATGTCTAACAGAGAGAGAAAAATATTTTATAGCAATAAACGTGACATTGACTCCTAAAGGGTTTGCTGTTTTAAACAACTTCCCGGTCTTACTTTTCCTCGTATTTTAAAATAGTTTAAAGTAGACTGCATAAAGAAATTATTTCCATCTTTTGCAAGAAAAATTATTTAATTTGCCACGAACTTCTAGAATGCATACATAAGGAGAAATGATCGGGGAAGAGATAATTTTGGAATTCGTTTAATAAAACACTGTGCTCGGCAATGCAAAAGAATATTAAGGCAAATAAAGCATAATTCCCCCTGCCCTGAAGGGACTTGGAATATGCTAGATGTGATAAGACACACACAGCTGTATGGGGACATAGTGAAAACAAGCCGGAGAGAGAGGCACAATTAAAGGGCCATGGGACTGCGAGGGAGAAAGAGAAGGCTGCAGTGGGGCAGGATCCCCCTGATGTGACTTGTGCAGCATCTCCATCTCCTGTGACTCCTCTAAAGGCTGCCCTGGAACGGGCCCTCTTCTCTCTTGCCTTGGCCAGGCCACAGCTCAGCTCTCTCAGCTTCCCTCATCCCTTGCAATGGCAGCCCTCGTCCCATCTGGGAAGGAGTGCGCCGACTTATTCTGCTGCAGGCTCAGTACTTAGACTGCAGGTCCGCATCCTGCTTTAATAGTTCTTAGTCGGAGCCCTGGTGAGTCACCTCACCACCTCCTTCTGCCTCCATGGTCTCCTCTGTAAAGTGGAGCCTGGTGGCATAGTAGGTTATGTGTGGGGCAAACCTCCAGCAGCCCCACGGGAGAAAGAAGAGGCGCTTTGCTCCTGTAGAGCAACACTCTCAGAAACCCACAGGGGCGGCTCTACCGTGTCCTACAGGGAGGGTCACTATGAGTCCCAATCAACTCCAAGGCACTGAGTCAAGGACTCAGTGGGGATAGGAAGGATGGATCTGAAGTGCTGGTTGTCAGGATAGAATGAGGGCCTGGGGTGCCTAGTGCAGTGCACACAGTACCAGCACAGAGCCAAGAGCTATTAGGACAACCTGGCTTATTAGGACAAACTGCTCTCTGTCACCCAATTCCATTTCCATAGGACAAAAACTAAAGTCCTTCCTTTGGCTTGTTAGACAGTACACGCAGTGGTGCTTACGCACTCCTCTGTTCTTTCTCTCAATCAGTTTCATCAAATACCTAATTCTCCTGCCCCTCTAGTCCACTTGCAATGGTCCAAAGGGGCTTTTGGGGTTTAAACCCCCATGGCTTAGCCCGTGCTGTTTCACCTGCCTGGGACAGTCCACCTTCCAAATCTCTACACCGCAAACCCCTGCTCACCCTGCAGTTCTCCTCTCTAACCTTCCCCCTGGTAGCCTGTGAAAGAATAAGGTCCTCCTTTCGGAAGGGCAAGAGCCCTGCTGGTATAGTGGGTTCCATGCTGGGCTGCCAACTGAAATATCCGGGGTTCAAAAGCACTAGCCCTCCCTGGGAGAAAGAGGAGGCTCTCTACTCCCATCAAAGTCGCAGTCTCAGAAACCCACAGGGTCGGTCGACCCTGTCGCTCTGCGCGGGCATGGACTTGTTGGCAATGCATTGCGGTTGTTCACTAGGCCAGAGGAGCCCTGGTGTTGGAGTGCACCACACGCTGATAACTGCAAAAGTGGCAGTTCAAAGCCACCAGCTTCTCCACAAGACAAAGTCAAGGTCAGCTGCCCCCATAGAAAGGCACAGCTTTAGAAGCCCAGCGGGGCAGTCCTTCCCTGCCCTGTAGGCTCGGCATTGATTCCATGGCAATGAATTTGGTTTGGTTTCTCCTTTCCTGAGCCAGGAACCCTGCTGGCACAGTGGCTAAAAGCACTCTGCTGGGAACCACAAGGTCTGGGGTTCAAACCCACCACAGGCTACACATGTGGCTTTCTACTCTCATAAAGATTTACCCTTGTGGAAACCCTACAGGCAGTTCTGCTCTGTTCTCGGGGGTCACGCTGAGTCAGCATCGGCCCCGCAGTAGTGAGTTTGGTATGGGGGGAGTTCATACTCGGCCGAGGGTCACAAACTCACATGGCCCAGGCAGGTAGCATATCCAAATGAAGCAGTACAAGATAAGATGAGTGGTAGGAGCTGTGGTGAAAACAAGAATTAATGACCTAGATGACGCTGTGGGGGAGATATTGGGGTGTCAACTGCATGGTTAGTGGTCCAGACCCACCAGATGCTCCAAGATGAAGCTTTCTGCTCTCATAGAGGTTTACAGTCTGAGAGACCCTCAGCGACTCAGCAGGAGCGAGAATGGGCTTGACAGCGACGGCTATGGCTCAGGTTATGCTCTGTCTAAAGAGCCAGCCCTTCCTCACTGTTGCCACCGGAGAATGTGGTTTCATTATTACCGATCCCCCCGTTTTCTCAAGGTGAGATCAAAATCTTGACTTCTCCCAAAAATGTCCAGTTTTAATTTTCAGCAACTACATTTATTTTAATGGTACCATTTGAAGCCAAATAAACCCATCTGGTAACAAATGACTAACTGTAAACAGACCTCAACTCTATGAACAGCTCATGTTGGGATTTCTGGAAAATTTAACTTTGCCTTTTAATCATTTAAACCTCTACTTTCTCAATAGACTACAGTCCAAGAGCAGAAGTTCTCAACATGTGGGTCGCAACGCCTTTGGGGGTCGAATGACTCTTTCACAGAGGTCACCCGATTCATAACAGTAGCAAAATTACAGTTAGGAAGTAGCAACGAAAGTAATGTTATGGTTGGGGTCACCGCAACATGAGGAGCTGTATTAAAGGGTCGTGGCATTAGGAAGGTTGAGAACCACTGTGAGAGGATCTGGCTACATTATCTTTGTCTTCCTAGAGCCCAGAACCGAGCCCAGAAGCATCTCTGGGAATTTTTTAAATCATTTTATTGGGGCTCATACAATTCATCACAATCCATACACACATCAATTGTGCAAAGCACACCTATACATTTATTGCCCTCAACATTCTCAAAATTCATTTTCCTCTTGGGTTCCTGGAATTAGCTCATTTTGGGGAATTTCATATTGATGTCTTTCAGAGCTTTGAAGTCAAAACAGACTCTGCAGATGAGAGACCATCCCAGGTAGTGGGAGAGAAACTTTTACTAAATTCTAAGCAAAGTGATCTGGTTCATTTTATACACTTCTGGAATAAAGGTTTTCCTCTGCCAAGTGTCCATATTTCTAAAGAAATATAAAATTTCAAGAAATAATTTCTTTTAAAAATGAAAAAAAAAACTTGTAAGTTGTGGAAGCCTTAAAAATATCTGATTTGAGGGTGGCAACAATGAAACATACAACTTTCCTCTCTTTCTTAAATGCTTCCTTCCCACCCCACCCCCAATATCATGATCCCAATTCTACCTTACAAATTTGGCTAGACCAGAGGATGTACACTGGTACAGACAGGAACTTGAAACACAGGGAATCCAGGACGGATGATCCCTTCAGGACCAGGGGTGAGAGTGGCAATCTCGGGAGGGTAGAGGGAAGGCGGGGTAGACAGGGGAGACCGATTACAAGGATCTACATATAACCTCCTCCCTAGGGGATGGACAACAGAAAAGTGGCTGGAGAGCGATGTTGGATGGTGTAAGATATGACAAAATAATAATAATTTATAACTTATCAAGGGCTCATGAGGGAGGGGGAGCGAGGGAAGGGGGAAAATGAGGAGCTGATACCAAGGGCTCAAGTAGAAAGCAAATATTTTGAGAATGATGATGGCAACAGATGTACAAATGTGCTTGACATGGTGGATGTATGTATGAATTGTGATAAGAGTTGTATGAGCCCCCAATAAAATGATTTTATATATATACATACATATATATATACATATATGTATGTATATGATTTGCTTGGCACTGTATAGAACTCTTCTGGCAACAGCTCCCAAACCCACTACAGGATTCACAACACCAGAGCCCGCTCTCAAGATATAAACCTCTTATAGAAAAAGTATACATATATATAATCTTCATCTAACATGTCAATCAGTAATGTGGCATCACTTTCACTTTGTTGTGCGGTGAGCATGAGCCATGTTTTAAACCCAGACACATCATCTCCTTGGCAATGCCATTACTGGAGTTGCCATGAAGCAGAGGAATATGGTAAAAGGTTGTGGACAGATTAGAAGATTCAAAGAGAACAGGGGCGGTATATTTGAAAGAAAACTAAAAACTGTGGAAACATCAGAATCTCCTAAGTGCTATTCAATTGGGGGAGTATTTGAAGTTCGATAAGGGTCTATCTCAAAACAGGCAGTGAAAATAAGTGTCAGGCGGCAGTGAACCACTGCCCCTAGAATCCCATTATCTCGGTCTCTGCTTCTCACACTTCATCTCCTCTACTCACCTTTTACAAACCAACTTCCTTGTAAAGTTTTCCACGGCAAGATGTAAATCCTAATCGCAAATCCATGCTGCTATTGCCACACCTTCCCGTCTGATTTATTCCCGAGGAAAGCGTGTGCCCTAACAGACAGATAGACACACACATGTCCACCGTGGTCCCATTAGCTGGAGCCAAGGCTGTGGAGTTGTGAAAGAACTGGTTTTGTAAGACAGAAAGTGGGCTGGGGCAAACACCAAACATCTAAATGATGATCCCATTTTCCTCGATAAATGTAAAAACAGAAGGACAAAGATGGGAAGGGTCCACATCAAAGGATTGCTATTGTTGACGTCCCTGTTTTTGTGTTAGTTTTGCTTCTCTGTGGATTTTTCATCTCTACAGTGGATAAAACCACTCAACTGTCTGTTGGTTGTACTGTGGTGGCTTACATGGAAGTTCTGTCATTTATCTGGGCTTCCAAAACTTCATGCAAAAAAATCCAGTATCTTTCATTTCCATCTCTCCACAAAGGTTTTGAAGCCTCTTCAAATTTCAAATAGCATCAGGGTCAGCCCTAGTGGGCAGTTTTCATTGAAGCTTCAAGACTCAGACTCACTTAGAAGAAAGATCTGGTGAGCTACTTCCAATAATTATTCAATAAAAATCCTGTGTATTACAACAGACTACTGTCCAATACAATGCTCCAAGCCAAAGCCACTAGACTGAAAGAGACTCAAAATACAAGGTGGCGGCAACAATGATGACAGCATGTAGGGCTAGCTATCATTTTGTTCTGTTGTACATGACTCTGGGCTGATTTAATGACAATTAGCAACAGCGGAAACAATGAACTAGGTGAGGGAAAGCGGCCCAGCATAAATGAGGCTTTAAAAACTAAAACTGGGTACAAAAGGCTCAGGTGGAAAGAACAAGTATCTTTAGTGGTAACAGAATCTAGAGTGCAAAGAAGCTTACCAAAGAAGGGTTAGCAGCTTGAAAGGAAAATTCCACCTGGGAGTCCTTTGGAGTTGAGCAAAGTCTCATCAGGAAGGTGCCCACGCTATTGCTAGTGGAGAAGCTGGATGTTGAGTTCACCAGGGCTCATGGTCTTACGACATTGTGGTGTGCAATTAGATCCTAGGATAAGATAAGACAGAGCAAAGAAAGATATGAGCCAATGGAAATATACAGTATGATTGTGGAAGGCAAGAGGGAATGGTCATAGCAGAGGAGCCCAAGTTGAAAATACAGGTGTCAATCAATCATCTGAGGACAGGCGAAGGAAGGGCCCTGTTCATCACCCTGAACAATGGCAGTGGGATACAAAACATGTGAAGGGAAATGTGAGTTCGGTCATTGACATGCACACAAGATCAAACCGTGGCCAAGGGATCAATGGATTTTATAATTGTCATGCAGAAATAGATAGCTGGGGCAATTCAAGTTATTAAGTTGAATTCAATAGAAGATGAGAGAAGACAATGTGGTCTCCTGTATCTTCTCCCTTTTTCCATCCTGCTCATTATCATCTGTTCCGTGTTTGGTCTGGCCTTGTGTCCTAGCTCCTGCGTCTAAGAGTGCAGATACCCTTCCCTTTATGGGAACAAGTAAACGCCTGCGCTGCCCAGCTCCACTCCGGCACAGACCGGCGACTGTGAGTCAGAGCCAATTCAATGACAACTGGTTGGAATTTTTTGTTTGCTCATTTTTTTTAAGACCAGGGATGTTTGAGGGGGGTGGGAGGCAAAGATAACATCCAGGGAGCCAGAGCTCTCCCTATGCCTCTAAAAGAGCTCTTGCTTTCCTCCTTTGGCATGTTGTTGTCCACAGCCACCCTCCCCACTAGTGGAACCCGACTCATAGTGACTGGAGGCGCAGAGACAGAAAACGCTGCCCCGTCCAGCACCAACATCCCGAGTGGCTATGGTCACACCTTTATGGTCCATACGGTTTTCAGTGGCTGCTTTACAGAAGTAGGTCCCCAGGGCTTTGTGCCAAGCCCATCTGAGTCTATAAGCTCTGCTGAAACTTTTTCCGCATCTAAGCAGTATGCAAACCTTTACTGATGAGCAAGCAGTGGCTGTACATGAGGTGTGTTGGCCAGGAATCGAACTCGGATTTCCTGGAGAAAAGACGAGAATTCTATAGGTGAGCTACCAATGTCCCATTCCTTCCTTTGGGTATTTAAAAAAAAAAAAAGTTCAATTCCTTTTTGTTACTGTTATTCTGTTCCTTTCCTAACTTAATTCCTCCTTAGTGGTTGATCATTGAGGCTTCTGTGCACTTCCAAGGTCATAAAACTGAGATCGAGAGACCCTGCCCCCATGGGGATCTTGGCTTGAATACAGCCCTCATCTGGAACGTGCTGTTAGTCTTGGCCCCCTTGGAGCCTCTCGGAGCTGTTCCGGCCTTCTGCTACCGCAGGCTTTCCAACTCACTTCCCCTGGCAGAGCAGGGGGTCTGCTGATAGCAGCTGCATCTGGAGCCTCAGAGGGAAGACAGAGAGCAGGGTGGTCAGAAGCACGCCTCTGAGGATGCCCAGAGGTGCAGCTTCAAATGAGGCAATGTAGGTGGGTGGGGCCGAGGGCCTGCGGACCCGCCTGACCAGTCTGACTCAGAAAGGGAGGGAACTCACAGAAAGGTCACTGAGCAGCTGATAAAGGGTGGAGGCTGAGGGAGACAGAACAACTGGACCCAAAATACCCCCCTAGCCCTAAGGGGAGGGAATCCTTCCCTCGGTGCTGCCCCTCAGGCATTAGTCTTCCCCTCAGAATGTCCGTCTGTGACAAGACACCCCAGGTGGGTACACCTGGACACGTCTCTGCCGGTGAACCAAAACACATCCTTCTGTAATGACTCAGCAGAGAAATGAAGATGCAGGCCCCAGGCAAACCCCCCCAGGAATGGCCTACCTTTCGCTAAAACAACCACAGGCATGGTTCACCCAGCACCCGAGCAGCAGGCAAGCAGCACCACCTCAGGTCAAGGAGAAAACTCAGAGCCAAAACAGCCTCCTTGCCCAGTTGCCACAGGGCCCAAAATTACACCATGGAGGATGTAATCCTCTGCACGCCTCACCTTTGTTGGGGCTGGCTTGAGGGACACCCCAGGAGAAGTCTTCACAAGAGGGTGTACAAGGCCTAGCAGCTCCCAGAGTGATTTGGGAGCAGGCAAGGAGAGAGGTGTTGAAAGGGAGGGGACAGGCAAAGGAAGTGTTGGAGAGTGATACCGAAGGAAGCCAGCTCCTGTTTCAGAGTTTTACCCAGAGGGAGCCAGCCTGGCAGCTCCGTCAGAAAACCCAGGCCGGAGTGATTTGCCAGTAAATGTGAACCATGCATGTAAACAATCCTAATAATTTATTCCTTGAAATGCTTTTAAAATACATTATTATGCCGAGCTTCACATGCCTCAACTTGAAATTGCCCACATAGAAGGAAAAAAAAAACCATTCAGGAGCAATTAAAAAGAATAACAAGAGAGGAAACAGCATCTGTCTACTGTGCCAGGACCTGGAGGAAGAAAGCTAAAGACAGGTCACCAGACCCCTGCACCAAGGTCTTAGCTTCTGGAGGAATCTCTCCTCAGTAATTCAGGTAGAGACCCTGACTGTCTATCTAGCGCGTTGGTTCACTTGACCCCAGAAGAGTAAGCAATAAAGAAAATAAAAGCAAACAATCACTAGTCGGAATGCACACCCAGCCCTCTGTATCAACAAGCATCACAGCTCCACTTGATTCCATTTTTAAAGTCCTTAAGAAACAGCGCAGGATGTCCCAAAGGTAAACTCACCCTGCTTCAGCTGCCGGCCGCAAAGTAAGTGCCTTGTCTGCCACAGGTGAGCTTGAGACCCGGGTAAGGGTCAACTAACAAGCGGCGAGAAGGGGGACAAGGAAGGGAGAGGGGAAAGACAACGATGGGAGAGGAAGTGTGCAGTGTGCTGAGAGCAAGTGATTCTCAGAGAACTAATCACCGTTTCTACACCCAGCTTAGACCTTGACCGCTTAACTCCATGGAGACTTTGAGTCACGACATAAGGCTCATTGCTCACGGTCGTGTTGCTGGTTAGTTGGGGGCAAAAGTTAGGCTTAAAACTTAAAACTCCAGTCTAACTAAGGAAATCCCCCGTGTTGCTACAGCAAAGACTAGCAAAATTAAGGGATTCGGGAACTGGGTGCACCCGCAACTCAGTTTCCCCTTCTGAGCATGGATCATTTAGTCACCAACGAAGGATTGCTCCTGGGTGGCTATTGCCATCGATTCATGGCAACCCCGTGTGTTCAGAGCAAAGCCGCTCCACAGGGCTTTCGAAACAGAGAGCCTTGGGAAGGCGATCACCAGACCTGGAGGGCTTCCAATCACCAACCTTTCAGTCAGTCTTCAAGGGCTTCCATACATTGCCCACTTCAGGGAAGGCATGGTTCTGGGCATTGTTCTAAGATTGGGATTTACCTCCATAAAGTAGGGTCCACGCTGTCCCTTTGCAGAGAACCACTCCCTGAACCGCAGTGCCCCCAGCACCTTCATGCCAGTCATGCTTCTCCACTTGGCCCGCCCTCTAAACCACATAGTTGATAGGTCTGTTCATGTGCTCGCTGTGCGTCTCCCCCTCAAGACAAGGATGGCGTTCAGAGGACAATAGTCATCTCATTAAAGGCTGTCTTTCCAATACTTAGAACAGTCCCTGCCCATAGTAGGTACACAGTAAAAATGTGTTCAATGAATGGCATTAACTCTCCAGGAGAACTTTTTGTCAGTGCCGGTTCATGTAGTAGAAACAGCCAAAATAGTCAGAGAGTGTTCTTACAAACCATCTAATTTGACCATGATTATGTGTGCCAAATAGAAAATATAGAAAGGAGATGGGGTTTCAATAATGGCCTATAAAGTGCCTGGAAGCTCAATTTGAAAGAAAGCACAATTTGAAATGCTTGTATTCTGTGCCACTTAATGCAAGAACAAGGGCCAGCTTGTGACGTTAAAAGGCAACAAATTTAAAACGAATAAAAGGAAATACTTTTTAAAGCAGCGTGTAATCTACCTGTGGAATTCATTGCCGTAGGACATTATTGAGGCAAGTAGTCTAGCAAGATTCAAGAAAGGATTAGACATTTATTTGAATAGGAATAATATTGGCAGTTACACTAACTAGGTTAAAAAGTTACAAGGCATGTCCGTCCCAGGGCTCTAGGGCATACATAACTGTGCACCAGCTGGGTTGAGGAAGGAACTTCCCCCTGTGATAGACCATTGCATAATGGGCCAGATGCACCAGGGTACGAAGTGGTTTTGCCTTCAGCCTTCGGTAACATAGGCCAGGCCCTTTGCCGAGGGGGTGTTCCTCGGGTAGATGGACCAGTGACCCCGTCCTGTCCCTTGGTTTCTCCGTCTCCTTGTTGCGCAATCCTGAATAGAAGGTAGACAGCCCACAGTCTTTGGGGATGCGCACCTGAAAAAAAAAGCTTTTCCCCTTTAGCAAAGAGAAATGGTAAAAATAGCTTTCTTCTTCCTGATGATGAAAATGTTTCACAGGATGAAATCATGCGTTCGCTGTACTCGTACTAGCAGCACCGGAGTGCCAGGAGGCTGCCAGAGCACTGCCGACCCTCGGTGTGGCGGACTGCTTGGCAAACCTCCCACCGGGGCAGTGCCCACCCTTTCTCCCCATCCCAGTACTACGCCTTCTGCACGTTGCTCACACGTGTTTAATGAAAGCACACGTCTGCAGGTGTGGTAAGAAAAGCCTTCTAACGTGGTGCACTCACACTTGGAAGCATTTCCTCTTTGTTATAGTCAATTACAGTGCCAGGCCCAACCTGATATTCCCGGTGATGGAGAGCATGCATTTTTCCCACCCTAACATGGGAAATCCACGTGGCAGCTGTTAGCCACACATTTGAATACAAGCGCCTATTATAAGATGCTGCCCTATTAAAGAAAATATTGAAATTAAATTGCTCGTTATATTTCCGACTTTACAAACCTTACTTCTCCAGGTGTAGGCAGCATGCTGAGGAAACTGGAGTAGTGCTTAAACTATCGTCAAATTGCAGTGCCAGGAACATTCTGCAAACCAAAACAGAAAGGGAGATTGCCATGTAAATTCTCAAACCAGCAGTGAACCTGAAGTGTTTAATATATCTCTGACTAAAAGTAAATAGGCATTATAGATTCTTAATCTAGGGTTCTCCGAGGTCCATTACAACATTGAGGGGTTTGGTCTCGGTGTTTCAGAGGAAAAGACAAACACTAATGCATCCTCCCACACATAAGAACCAATGAGAAGTTTCTCAAGTGGGCTTAGGAAATGTCCTTTCCACTTAACTCTAGGACCTGCTCCCAGGGACGTCCTTAAATTTGCAGAATAAAAAAATAAAAATAAAAAATAAATAAAATTTTAAAATTTGCAGAATAATAAAATTAGATCCTTTTCATAAATGCTCCTGTATAAAGTGTCTTATTCCCCCAGAGAAAAGGCCTTAATACATGTAGGTGATATTTAGGATAGCTACTAGTTGCAGAAAAGCCTTTTCAAGTTTGGCTACTCTCTCTTGGTCTAAGTTGCTCTTTGTTATTTTTTTTGTCATATGATTTTTATCAAAATAGAGTTCCTCGGATTTATGTTTGTTAATGTTTGCTCTTTACTTCAAATTAGCCATATATTCTGAGCTAGGAGTCAACCAAGATGTGCTTCAAGTCTTAAGCCTTTTCTAAGATAAGTCACTTAAACCTTTTTTGTCTCTCTGTACTCATTTTTGAACTAGACATGATAATCCCTAACTCATAGATTAAGTGAGATTTAATGATAATGCAATTGAAGTATTTGCCTTTCCTCCCCAACCCCCACCCCTTCCCACCCCACTCCCACCCCCCAAAAAAACAGAACCCATTGATTCCAATTCATAACTATTCTACTTTATACATGGTTTCCAAGACCATAAATCTTTATAGGAGCAAATCAACCCAAACCAAACTAAGTCCTGCCAACTCACAGTGACTCTCGAGGACAGGATAGAACTGCCCCTGTGAGTTTCCAAGACTCTAACTGCTTATGGGCACACACAGCCTTATTTTTCTCTGGAAGAAGGGCTGGTGGCTTTGAACTACCAGCCTTGCAATTAGCAGCCCAACATCGAACCCACGGGACAAACAGGCTCCTGCTTGTCATAGATAAGGCAGATGATAAATCATACTTGTTATTATGACTAATGAGCTTTTGGGGTGTTGGAGGTTCCAATCTCCCAGCTGCTCTGTGAGAGAAAGACGAGGCTTTCTGCTCCCATACAGATTACCAGTCTCAAACACCACACTGAAGGGCAATGAGTCTGAATGGACTTCGTGGCAGTGGGGATTTGGGGTATTAGTAAGATGATGGCTATTTTATCTGGGTATGTGCAGTCATTAGGAGTGCATACCATATTCCGTCACTGCTAGATAGCTCTCATAGTTATCAATGACGCTGCATGATTACGTCAGAGTTTCCTTTCTCCTAGCGATACATTTAGATCCTAATTATAGTAAATAAATAGTCTGATGAATTATCTTTGCAGTTGTGAGAACTAATGGTCAGAAGCTATAAACGTTTGTCTGATTCTTGATGCATGCTGCCAAACAGCTTTCTGTCCGGGTTTTGTCCACATGCTCTATCACAGCAACATATGAGTGTTCGTCTCACCACTCCGTGGCTAACAATGGGAATTACTATTAAACACGGAAAAAAGAAAAAGGCAAAAAAGAAAGGAAAGGAACTTTTTTAAAGCCCTGAGGACAAATAAGCTTTTCTGTTTCCAGATCTGGCAGGGGGAGCGGGGAGCGGGTGGGGTGGGCAGGGATCCTTTGAATGGTGCCGATTTCTATTCGCCCAACATCAGCTGGTCTCCTTCCAATTGCTTCTTCAAAATACGCTCCTCGCCCTCTTAGAACTTCTCGTTCTCCAGTGCTCCCCCTTGTAGTTTTCCAGCCGAGTGAAGCCACAAAGCGGAACAAGCAGTTTCATTTTTCGGCCAGATGTCCAGTGGTCCCATGAAGCCTAGCGACTCAACTCCCTGAGACAGGCGTGAAGGGAATGCCCACAGGCCCATTCCCAGAGGAAACGGGAACTGGTAAAGCCAATAGATAAATATTTTCTTGCAAGGTAGAATAATGTAAAATGGCACAGCCCACATCTGACCACAAAGCATGGAAGCTGTAACCCAATGAGGCGTATCACCTGAGCTCTGAAAGGGATAATCTGAGGAGGAACAGTTGGTTTGTGCAGCTTTCAAGGCCCCTACATAATACCTGGTCTGGTTTTGTGGGAAGAGAAAAAAGAAAGAAAGGTAGGAAGAAAGCCAGCCTTTGTAGGGAGTTTACTACAGACAGTCCCCGGGATGCTAACATCGACTTTATGGCCAACTCAGACTTGTCCTTAAGTGTCCTGCCAATTTGTCCTCACATTGAAATGATTAAACAAACGCAACTCACAACAAACTTCATCGCATTCACCTTCATTTGCTGCACACGCCGCGTTTAAATCGCCGAAAACATGTCAAGCCCTTTCTTTTGCATTAAATTCGAACTCTAGGCCCCTTTCTGACTGGCCTGCACATTCTTAGGGACACAGTCAAGAACAGATCTCTTTCCTAACCTGGGGGCTGCTTATCCACGTGAAAGGTGAGAGAGTGACAGTGTGGAAATGGGAATGTTTAAACTCCAGCCTGCAGAAACTGCCTCATACCCTTCCCCCCTCAATGTCCAGCTTGCTCTCTATGTCTTGAAATAACTGCTGGGAGCTTCCAAAATTCATCTGCTGTCTATCTGAACATTGGTCTGATAAGAACATGTCTCAACGCCCTGTTGAACCACAGACAACCCTCATGAGAAATCTCTTCTCGATTGGTAACATTTTAAGTCTGTTTCAGCTGCTTCTTGGGGCTTGGTGGCAACGGAGTTTCCACCATAGTTGGGCACTGTCCACACTGGTGGATGGTGCAGCAATGTCTTCTAAATGCCAGAATCTTGTGCTTGCTAAAGGAACTGAGAGTAGTAAATGGAGATGACGGAAACCAATGATGGGCATGGCCCCTGGTCCTGGTTCCAACAATATCTCCCTAGGTGGGCAGGAAGCATACCTTATATGTAAGCACAGAGTACAAGAACTAAAGACAGCCTTCCATCACTAAGAGCCCTGGTGGTACCGTGGTTACAATATTCAGTTGCTAACCTAAAGATTGGCACTTGGAGCCACCAGGGGCTCCTTGGGGGAAGGAGGAAGCAGTCAACTTCCATAAAGACTTGCGGCTTTGGAAAGCCCATGGGGCAGTTCTACTCTATCCTGTCTGGTGACTCGGAATCAAAGTATATTGGACGGTGCTGGGTTTGGTCGCCTAGATCTGACTGCTTACTCCCTGCGTGACCTTCTGCAAGCGCTGAACTTCTCTAGGCCTCAGACCCCCCATGTACTCAGGGAACAGAGTACCACCTACTTGGCAGAGTTATTGTGAATGGCACATCAGCATCTGCCACACAAGAGATCTGTGCACACACACGTGTGTGTGTGTGTGTGTGTGTGTGTATACACACTTGAGTTTTGAAAATCAATTACTCTTCTCCATCTTTATAGCTCACGAGGTGGTTTTTGAAAAGTCAATCAGGAAAGGAAGGGGAGAAGCCGATTTTCCTCTTCAACAAGAAAAAGCAATTAAACGTCAAATATTAACTGTTCCTGGGAGTAAATTTTTTTAATGGGTTAAAGGCTTGGCCATTACAGACCTCCAATATGTAATTTCTAAGAAAGGAACAGGTAATATTTTTTTTTAATTGAGTGGAAGATAAAATGCTAGAGCCAGTGTGTCCTTTCAGAAAGCACTTTTTTATCCATTTTCATGCGCTTCCAGATTGCATCATGCCTTTTAAGAGGCCCAATTTGTTTAACAGCACTTTATTTTAAACCCTCACTTGTGAGAAGCATTGATTTATGATGGGGCTGATTAAAGCAATGGTGTCTTAAGCAATAATGATTTCGATTAGAACTTTCATAAGTGTGCATTATTCTGATTTGCTCTCCAATCTTCCCACAGTCCTGTGCTCTGAGGAAGGGGATGTGAATAGGTGATGTCATTTTTAAAAGTCCCTGGATATAGTTAATATTGGAAGGGAATGTATAGGCAGATGGACTAATGTACCTTTTTTTGATTACGTGAATGTATTATATTTTAATATGCTCTGACAAACTCTTCAACAACTCCCCAGTGAGCTCCTACCCGCTATCATTAGGGTTATTTAGTGCTCCAATCCTGCTCTGATTCCCACTGAAGCCACACTAAAGAGAGCGGAGTGTACACACCACATGTCCCCCACCAGCCTAGGACTCACAGTCTCCCCTTGTCGTTTTGGGGGACTGGGAGCCACAATTAGGCTCACACGTGTTGAACGACTTCAAATGCAATCTTGGTGGAAACACATGTCAAATAGGCTCTTATAATCTCAAGGCGCCCTGGTGGCACAGCAGGCTACAGCTTGAGCTGGCAACCACAAGTCCAGAGGTTCAAGTCCACCAGGACGTGCCCCAAGGGGAAAAGACGAGACTGTTGGCTCCTGGAGAGCCTGTTAAGGTCTTGGAAGCCTGTAGAGGCAGCTCGACTTTACCCTGTACGGTGACCAAAAACCGAAATCCACTCGATGGCAGGGACTTTAAACCTAAGAGCATTCAGCTGCCAACTGCAAGGTTGGAGGTTTGAGTCCACTCGGAGGCATTTTGGAAGAAAGGCTTGGTTACCTTTACCCACAAACAATGGAAAACTAAGTAGGTCAGCAGTGTTCACTGTGATGCATATGGAGTCACCGTGAGTCAGAATCAACTCGCCTGCTTTGGTTTGGTTTTGAGGCAGTAGAGCAAGCTGGCCAATGGACAGGAGAACTCTGCCCATTGTCGCCTACGATGGAATGGTGTCAACTACGAAGAAGCCCAGTCCGAGGAGGGTAGATGTCCCTGGGCCTCGGCTACATCTCACCATTGGGATTGTCAAGCAAGTGTGAATTTGAGTTTTTCAAAAAGAATCCCAAAAGCCATGTGTTTTATAGTCAGC